TCAGCAAGTTGTTGCTATGGTTACTGAACGTGATAATTCGCGATAGTTTGGCGCCAGGATGGAAAATCGAGTCATTTCTTAAATAGCATTTCGAGGAACTAAAACTTAAACGCCGTAATTTTCACAATTTGCACTTTTCAAATCTGAGTTGACTCAAGTTGACTGACATTTCATCAGCTGACCAGTCACTTGACTATGGTCTATACAGGTAAAGTGGGACACTTAAGCATTCACCTACCTAATTTATGATGGGTAGGCCTATTGTTCATATTTCTAGTAGGCTATGCAGTTCATGCTGAACTAGTAGGCTATGGAATGATTTAAAAAACAACACCAGTCAGAAAGTACCCAGTTTTACCTTTATTTATCCTATCTATAGGTACTATAGATAAGTCATCTTAAAATGTACATATAGACCTGCAGTCAGTTAGAAATGGTTACAGTCCAGTGCTGATATCAGTGTAATCAAACTGCTGTTGCACACATACACCATTTTAAATAGCTTGACGAAACCCAAGGCTTACGTTGTATCATCTCACCTGTATGATTTATCAGTGTTTTTTGCATCACTGTGCGCAACACAGCAAAGAGTGCTGCATATCGGCTCTTAGGAAAAAGATATTTGCCCTTCGAGACTGCCTGACATGTTCACTTACCATACCAACAAACTATCACATTCACACCCAACTGTGTAAATGCCAAGTCTAAATTTGTGTTTACCTCACACTACAGAAGCATTATGAAAATGCACAGTCTTGGATGATATATCCCCTGCAGTATTAAAGTAAGTTGTTCTGGTAAAATACACAAATTATTGAATGGCCTGCAGTCTGAAACTTCCTTGTTTGCAGTTGTCTCGTTGGTACGTGAGGTTTTAGTGACACCAGGAAAAATTGGATTTAGGGAGTCAAATAGGGAAATGGCATAAAATGGAGTCAAACTTTTCCACACCAGGAAACATTTGCTGATAGTTAAACACAAAATGCTTAAGGCTCATTTGACTTAAATCAGTGTTTTTATACAAGACCCCATCAGCTCAATACCACAGAATTTGCCTGCCGCTTCAACTCCCACAGCCCACACAAGTGCTTGTGAGTCTTGGGGAAGAGCAGCTGTCAAACCAAGAGGAAATGCTTTGCATTTGTTTAAGGTCCTTCTATGATCTTACATGTCTGTCAGGTGGGTAATAATATGATAGTGCCGAGGCAAGCTGCACAAGTCCTGAGATGTGAGCAAATATTTGTCTAGATATGGTCTCCTCAGCACAGATCAACACATCCCATCTATGTGTAATTAGTTTAAACAAGGTTATATTCTTCCTGAAGAGCCATAGAACATCAAGGTTGTACTGGAATTCAGTTTATGATGAGAAATAGACATGGTTTTGGTCGTAAAAGGCATAAAAATATAGGCCTATTCTTCACTAGTGAAATTCTGTTGCACTTATTTGGTATATATGGGGAATCTTTAAATGGGTTAGAATCAGTTAAAGATGTGTGAATCTCACTGATTAGATATCAAAATATCACACCAAGTGGTTATTTTAAATAGCACATTTTAAGCAAAATACCTGTAAGTTTGATGGATTTTACAGTATTGTGGTTGTAAAAGTTAGTTTGAACATGTCCACTGTTAATGTGACAAACAACACCTGTGGTTTCTCTGCTAGGACACCTCGACTTCATGCATCCACTAAAAATCACCAGAATTCAAGTGGATTAAAAGGCATCGAGACTCAAACATGACGAAGAAAAGTGAAGCTAGTCGAAGAGACAAAGGTCCTGCATTTGAGCTCAGGTAATGACATTCAGGCTTTTGGGGCTAGAACTTGTTAAGTTCTTTGTAGTGAATGGGTGCCGTCAGAATGAGAGTCTAAACTGCTGGTAAAAAACATCAGTGGTCCAAAAGTAATTCACATGACTCCAGTCCATCAATTAATGTCTTTGTGAAAAGATGTGTAAAAAAATCACAAGTTTTAACTGTTGCTTCCAGCTAAAAATACCGCTTCCTCCAGTGAAAAAGTCAACTTTGAATCAGGAAATATGCACAGCTCAAGCACTGTTTACAAGCAAAACAAAAGTCCAAAACAATTCGAAACAAAGAATTTGGATTTTCTAACTGGAAGAAGTGTTATTATGGGATATTTTTGGCCAGAAGTGACAGTTTAAAGTTACAATGCCTTAATGATGGATTTGATTCTTACAAACATGCAGTTTTTTTTTTGTTTACTTCACAAGACATTAAAAGATGGACTGGAGTCGTGTGGATTACTTGTGGATTATGATGATGTTTTTATCAGCTGTTTGGACTCTCATTCTGACGGCACCCATTCACTGCAGAGGATCCACTGGTGAGCAAGTGATGGAATGCTACATTTCTCCAAAACTGTTCTGATGAAGAAACATTTTTGGGTGAACTATTCGACAAAAAATGTTTGTCATGCATCAAGGTAAAAAGGTAGAAGGTTAAAAAAAAAGGCAAGAAGTTTATCATTTCTTTTGGGAACTGAATTAACAAATCACACTGCTCACGTATGCTGCAGGCAAAACACAAGATGACAGAATCATGTTTCAGTGTTAATTTAATCATACAAATGTTCAATTATACATACAGGAAAAGGGTTTTCATATTTTCTCTTTTTCACTCTGCTATCATAGGACTCTATGCAAACTCTCTGCTCAATCATACACCATGCCACGGTGCAGAAAACCCAACAGATCTAACAGAAAAAAGAAAGAAATCAGAAAAAAAGACAATAATGCCGCAATGAATCAATCACACTTCTCACATGCATAAGCAACACACACACAAAAAAAAAATCCAGAGTGTATTTATAAATCGGAAGGAGGCTGTGAAGTGTGCAGCGCTTGGGATGAGAACATTCACTAAGAACAGCTCAAAGGAAGACTTGACTGATGAAGCGATGGCATCATCCAATGAGCTGTTTATGAGCCGAGCACTAGGCGAAACGTCAGTTTACCTCTGTCCAAACGGCCACAGCATTTCTAAAAACCTGGACGCAACATCGGTATCGTTAATGGCGAGAACTGAGGGGGGAAACGGACAAGAATTGCCTGACGTGTGAAATTTAACAGGACATGCTGACACTAATCTCTATTGCCTTGACATAAAGGTCAATTTGGGCTCATTGATTTGCATACTGCTTGAGGATAGCAGCTAATTTGTTTAAACGCTTTCATCTTCATGACCTAACATTTATCTCAGTAAATAGACCAATAGAGAAAAACATTATAGGAGACTTGTTAACTTTTTGTTTTGTTTATGTCTTAGAAATTGCCTAACCATTGCAGCAAAACAGAAAATGGTGAGTAAAACAGCCTTTCAGATATATTTAGCAGAATATAAACATCCAAGAAGCTTTCCATCATACCAAACACAGAGGCACGATTTAAACCAAATTAACTCCACAAAACTCCTTTATGCATTCAAATATTATTTGAAGCGTTCCAGCTCCAAATCTGCCATTTCAACATACAGCAACAACTCAAGAATACAAATTAAAAATAATATTTTTGGATAAACGCAAATGCTACCACAGAAAATAATTGGTATCTTAGTAAGACTAAACATAAAAAAGTGTGTAGGGAAATGCCCTTTCAATGGAAGTATAGTGCACTTGCCACAGACTTCAATTGTAGGCACATACATGTCAATGCATTTTCAGGTAGAGAGGTACAAATCCAAATTACTTTCTGTCACAGACGATGTTCACTTGCATTTAACCCAAAATATTCCTTTAAAATGAACTCATTCTCACACTTTCCCCTCATTAAAACACCCTCAGCTCATTTAAAACAGCTTAATACCATCGTAGGTCTAGGTGAAGGACAGAAATGTATGATTGGGAAAATCAATGACGTGCTTGTGAACTCTTGGGTCAGTAAACAAGGGAACCAAAGCCACATCTGCTTGCTATCAAGTCATTACAAGTGGAAAACCAACATCAGCACTCTGGAACTCCAGAACAACATCAATGTAAACAAATATGATAACAGCAACAAGATCTCTGACGACAGCTATGACTTGACCTGTGGTGGCAAGTACAGATGTATACTTCAATATAATGAGACGTAATGTGCTCATGTACGCTGTACAGGTTGCTGGGCTTTTTTTTTGTTGTTGTTTTTTTAACTGAATCCAGAGAACAGTTTGTGGCTGGCAAAGGACCATATGAAAGCAATTACACAATTTAACCTCCAAGTAGGCACATTGACCTTTTTTCTCAAAACTCTTCAGTTTGTAAAGAAAAAGTCAGAGAACATTGATGAAAAATGATAAAACTACTTGACAGGCATTAATTCTTTGTTGATGGCTTTTGTGCATGGCTGAAACACTTGCACACATATTGAGGTGACTACCGCAAAACTTGTCAAAAACAAACCCTGGTCATATTTCACCGCAAAATCAAAAGGAAGAAATTAAAAATCATACTTTGCTTAAAGAAAATTAAGCCTGTTTTTAGGACTAATAAGATTTCCTTCGTTGTGACATTATTTTCATGCCAATGAATCATTTGATGTAATGCAAAAATATATATTTAAATTGTAAAATATTTTTGCCATATGTTAATTGGTTGCATTTAAATTAGGCTTATAAAAAATTAGTGCAATTTTAAAATTTAAATATTTCAATTAAATGTGAGAACAATTGGAATAACAAAAAAAAAAAAAGTAAAAATAAAATGCCATGTTTTATTAGAGTAATGAAAATTTGGGGGGATAATGCACTTAATTGTCATGAGCCAAAATATATCTTAAAAGTTGTAAAAACATGTTTTATTTTCTGTACGCAAAATATAACACTTTTATGCTTTTCTATTGATTTTACTGTGAAACATGACTCCGACACATTCTAGTAAGATTCACTCATCATTCATTCATCCACCCGTCCTGCCTCTCTTTCTCTTGTGCATTCGTGCACTCACTCACACATCTGAATTTACTGCTGTAATGTGACCAGACAGATCAAAAAACGGTGTATTTTTCATTATATCTCTTTAGAATTTCTAGCACTCATCTAAATCTAGCATTCACACATGCGTAACTCAGGTGTTGGTTCAATATTGATTTGGAGCCAAACAGATTTGTCCACACATTTATGTGATGTTCTGGTGCGTCGGGGGAGAGGAAGGGTCACCAAGTCTTTAGAGTAAATCTCTTCCTCCTCTCACTGAACCCTGGAAAAGGGCAAAAGCAGCAGCTCTGATGAGCTACCGGGTGGTTTCTGTATCTTAAGACTGTCCGAACGGGAAGGGTCCATTAATGCCCTGGGAAGAAGCAGAAACAATAAGATAAAACACTAATGTTAAAGACCATTTGTAAATACATTTTCTGAAAAAACGTGTTCTGATAATAATAGCTTTCTAGGAGACCATTTGTAAATACATTTTCTGAAAAAAAAAAAAAAAAAAGTTCAAACCATTTGTGATTGCTTGCATTCTTAATAAAAAAAGCCCCAAATCTCTGGCTTAAGTCCCTCCTTCAGTGAAAGTCTATGTGATTACTATTATCATTGCCACATAGATTAATACTGAGAGTTAGTTCAAATATGATGAGCAATGAATGAGTAACAACAATATCAACACCCAATTTTACACGGATATTTGACCTGCAGGTGGCTGTTTAAGCAAACAGTCTCGAACTTTGTTACACTGGGAATATACACTATATTGCCAAAAGTATTGGACACCCCCTTCTAATGAACAGGTTTGACTACTTTAGTAATTTCCATGAGTACAAATCTTAATGTTTAAGCATATAGTGATATTCTAGGGAATTGTGTGCTTCTCATTTTTGGACAAGACCTTTTCTACTCTAACATGACAATGCCTCTGTGTATAAGGCAAGGTTCAAAGAGAAATGATTGATTCGGTCAGTGTGGAAGAACTTGACTAGTCTGTAGAAAGCCAAGTCCTGACACCTAATCCCAGCTGAACACCTCTGGTTTGACTTTAAATACAGACCTTGAGCCAAAAACTCATCACCAAACACCAATGACTTGTACATACACTATATGGACAAATATATTGGGACACCCCCTTCTTTTGAACAGAAAAAGGCACTTCCAAAACTGTGGCAACAAAGATGGAAACAATCCATGTATTTAAAAATGGTATTTTTTATCTCCGTTGCAACAGTTTTGGAGGTATCTATAAAATGACTGTATCCATATGTACAAGTCATTGGTGTTTGGTGATTTGGCTCAAGGTCTGCATTTAAAGTCACAGTCACACCAGAGGTGTTTAGCTGGGATTAGGACTTTGCTTTCTACAGACTAGTCAAGTTCTTCCACACTGACTGAATCAATCATTTCTTTTTGAACCTTGCCTTATACACAGAGACATTGTCATGTTAGAATAGAAAAGTGTCCTGTCCAAACTGTTGCTATGAAATTAGAAGCACACAATTCCCTAGAATATCATTATATGCTTAAACATTAAGATTTGTACTTATGGAAATTACTAAAGTAGTCAAACCTGTTCATTAGAAGGGGGTGTCCCAATACTTTTGGCAATATAGTGTATGTATACAACGGGTTTACTGTTAGTAATCTGGGATTTCAACAGTGACTTCTTTAACTGGTTAATAACGTTTCTTCATCAGCTCACATACTTGTATGGAACTCCATCTTGTGGCTGAGAGGCAAAGTTTAAGCCCCTTAAGGGCCTATTAAACAGCCTCTAGATTGACATTCACAGTTGTAAACCCTGACTTTAACATGTACACATCAAGGCCAAATTCAGAATGACAAATTTCTACATGGGGCTGGGAGATAAAATGCCTAATTTTTCAGCCTAGATATACATCTCAATATCAATTTATGAAATAGTTTAAAGGGTGTTTTGGTAAATCAGAAAACATCCCAAATAGCCAAGATGCAGATGAGTTTTTTTTTTTTTTTTTGATTTATCGGAATGGATTCAGAGAAATTTAGCATTACCTCACTTGCTCACCAGTGGATCCTCTGCAGTGAATGGAGGAAGTGTTGTTATGGATTGGCCAGAAGCAATGTTTTAAAGTTAAAACAGCTTAATGATGGTTTTGTTTCTTAAAAACAGCTTTTTGCTTCACAAGACATTAATTGATGTACTGGAGTGGTGTGGATTATTGTGATGTTTTTATCAGCTGTTTGGACTCTCATTCTGATGGCACCCATTCACTGCAGAGGATCCTTTGGTGACCAAGTCATGTAATGCTACATTTCTTCAAACCTGTTCTGATGAATAAACTCATCTATATCTTGGATGGCCTGAGGGCGAGTACATGTTCAACAAATTTTTATTTTTTGATGAAACTATTCCTTTAACTATTTTGATGCATGAAAAATATAATACGTAATGACATTTCTGAGTTATCATATTCATTGAAATAAGCAATAACATCACAAAATATTATATGTGTCTATTGCTTAGTCTCACTGCTTTAATGGTTTTATTCCAAGGTAAGCTGCACAAATGGGTTGAAAAGGTCATTTTGTTGTTTGAAGACCTTTAGGTGTGTCTGAAAACAATATCTTTGGTATAAAGACTCTGACATGTCTAAAGCCCACACCTGCTCCTCACATCATAGCGCTAATTACGAGTTACGCGTCATTGGGGAATTCTGGAGTGTGACGTATGAGGGGAACCCCAGTATTACAGCACAGCATCACACAAGCCATGATACAAAGTTACAGAAACTAAGCAACCGAAAGCAATATATGTCTTCCTCAGATGTAATGTTAGTTCTGTACTTCAGCATTGGGTAAAATAGCATTATAATCTCCTTTGTGGTAGAGAAAGCTGCTTACATGTAGTCTACAGGAAACAGCGAAGATATTGAATATACACACAATCAGCTTTTCCACGTTTATACCGGCCCCGATAATCAAAACTACTTAGCACTTGTTCCATTTCTGCAGATCAGTTTTTGTGAATGAATGACTTAAGCCACCTGTTGCTTTGGTCTTCATCAACAGCCGCTTGCGCCACCTGCTGGTGAGCGACTGACAGCAGCTGCAGATCATGCAACGGTGCTCTACTGCTATTCCTGCAGCTCCCGGATGTGCAATAACAAATTTTCTGCCAAATTTTAGCCACTGAATTTGTGGAAGCAAATTTGTAAAGTGAAATAAAATGGACCGAAATTTGCCTGTTGAATATTATACATCACATTTTTAAACAGATTGAATATTTTGGACGTGAATTCTGGAAGGTGAATATGAATTATTGAATTTTTAATGAATGAAATATTTTGAATCTAAATATTCACAGCTTACATAAACAACTATGCTAAATTTCAGGACCTAAAAATGCAAGCCCTGGAAATACAAGGCAATAAAATGCAAGCACTCTTAATGCAATGCATTATTTTTTCAGTTAGTGCTATTCAACATGCTTTTTTGTTTCAAAGACGTATGGCATTATTTTTCTTCCATACTAAATCAACTACACAAGTCACGAGTCAGCAATAATGTCAGCAGAGAGCTAATCAGCCCTTTTCGGGTATCTGTATGGAAATTCAATACAGGTTTTTCCAGTATTCCAGGGAAAACGTACGAGAAAATGCTGTTGGTTGGGTTTGGGAACTATTTCAATCAATCAATTCTTAAGAATTGTTTTTGCATAATCATTAAAAAATGCTGTGGAATTCACCACTTAATCCATATAATACAATTAATATTGCTATTTATTACCATGTACTGTTATATTGGAGCATATAAAAGAAAACAAAAACAGTAAAATCAAGTTATTACATTAAACATGCTGCATATGCTTAAAGAATTGCTGTTGAATCAAAAATGTCCAAATAAATTAAAATCACTCATAAGACGTTTTAGAGCAGATATGTTCAGAATCAATATATTTATTGAATCATCAAAAGGCTGAAACCGTTTTAGCTGTATCTCCCATTTCCAGCTGTATCACACATGTGCGGAATGAGGAAAGGTGTAACCAAACACGGTGAATCATCACAATGTGCTTTTCTTTGGTGAGATGTCACAAAACAGGGCAGGGAACAAAAAGGTGACGCATTGTTGTTACACGACCTTCTGTGCAAACAGATCATACGGCGGTCAGCACATTGAGAAGTTTCCAGTGTAGACTTTTGGCATGAAAGGAAGATTTTGAGAGGGTGTTGAAAAGACCTGCTGAGTGTTTTATCTTGGTTTTCTGAACCCATCTTGGCTTGACCTTTTCACTTAACTTTGGAAAAAGCCACTCAATCATGAACATTTGTATTAGGATCACAGAACTGGACTCGTATAATCGTTCATTATTCTAACATACAACTTACGCCTATACAGCTGGGTGATACTGAAAATTCTAAATATATCTGACGATTTTGTTACAGATATATACTGCCATTAAAACGTTAGGAGTCAGTAAGAATTTTTTTTTTTTTTTTAAAGAAGTATTTTATACTAACCATTAACCAAGGCTGTTATTATTTGATAAACAATATAGTAAAAACAGTGTTTTTGTGAAAAATTATTACAATTTAAAATAAGCATTTTCTATTTGAATATATTGTAAAATGTAATTTATTCCTGCGATGCAAAGCTACATTTTCAGCATCATTACTCCAGTCTTCAGTGTCACATGATCCTTCAGAAATCATTCTAATATGCTGAGTTGCTGACCAAGAAACATTTATTATTATCAATGTCAAAAGCAATTGTGTTGCTTCAAATCTTTGTGGAAACTGTGATACTTTTTTTCAGGATTTGTTGGTGAATAGAAAGTTCAAAACAGCATTTATTTGATATAGATATCTTTTCCAACATTTGAAATGTCTTTACTGTCAATTTTGGTCAATTTAATGCCTCACTGGATTAAATTATTTATTTCTTTAAAAAAAAAAAAGATTAGTACTGACCCCAAACTTCTGAATGGTATTTAAAAGTCTCTCCTTCTTGGGACTCGAGTAGGAGAGCATTTAGAGAGACAGACTGCGACTAAAACGGTCGCATTTGCAACCAAAAATATTAATTTGCGAGTGAAGTTTTTGCTGAGGTCGCCACTGGCGAGCGACTATATATATATTTACATGTTATAACTTAAAAATTTTTCCTGATTGTTTTGCGATCACATCTTTTGTTATGTTCACGTATTAAACTGAGACGATGCGCATCAAAGTTTTAGTGCAGCATTGTCGCACACCTGCTAAACGCAGCTCAGTTGTGCAGCGCGAGAGATCGAAATGACAGAGACGTGTGAAGTGAAAGTGCAGAAAAGCAGCGCCTATTTGGTGCACAACTTGAACAAACTACAACAGGTAAAGCTGTCAGCTGTGTGGATATTGGCAATATCGTTAACAATTCTCGTTTATAATCATTACTAAAATGGCTTCTTATTAATATCTTAGTCTATGCTGTGTTCTGTTAATGCGTGAACTAAAGGTCATCTACAAGATGGATTAAAATGCTGATAAAGTCAAGAAAAGATGACACATAAACACATGACAGTATGACTGAAATGTTAAAATGTAAAAAATAAAATAATAAAATAAATAAAACACGTTTATTCTGTGGCACCTAAAAAAATAATTTGGCGCCTAAGTTTTTTTCTTATAGGAGCCAATGGCTCCTTACTCTATTTTTTTGTCTGGAGCCCTGCAACATTACAATAACATGCGATTATTAATAGTGCCCCTGATTAAGCAAAAGTAGAAAAAATGCCATTAAAACTTCATAACAGTTTCAATGAATTAGTTGAAAAACTATTCGCTCTCTATCACCCATCCATACTCACACTGCATTATCATGCTAATCTTCATTCAAATCAATGAAATACTCCAAATGGCATACATACCTGGCTGTAAGTCACTACTGATAAGTTGTTTTGGAGACCATTTGGTGTAATATTTACAGAGCTGTGATTGAGTCCATTTTGATCTTGCTGAATGGAGTCCAGAGGGGCCTCCCAGTGGCCCCCGGGGTCTTTTAGATTATCCTCATTGGTGTCCTGCTTGTTCTTCTGTGGTGAGGCGAAAGGGTTGAAATCTCCCTCCAGACTGCGGTGTGGCTGCGTGTTGAACTCTGTCTCGAAGGAGGATAACTGCTGTGTGACGCCCAGCAGGCCTCCTTCTTCCACACTCAAGATCACCCAGATCACATCTGCACAACAAGGGGAATGAGGTGAGCCACATGTCCTTCAAGTCACCAAAGTTGGTTGTAGTACTCAGAACTTGTGCTCTAATGCTCTGAATGGCATACTATCATATTAACTGTAATATTTTTAGAATTCAGTATGCAGAAAGAAAATTATACGGGGTTAAATCAACTTGAGGAGAACTTAAGTTAAACTGCATATCACCACAGAAAAGTAAATGACCACAGTGTTCTCATTTTTGGGCAAACTATCACTTTAAAACATTTGTTCTTGCATAATGTTTGGATATTATTCTTTTTTTGAAAGAATAGTTCACCCAAACGTATTTGCCGAATATTTACTCACCCTCAAGCCATTCAACATGTAGATGAGTTTGTTTGTTCATCAGAACAGATTTGGAGAAATTTAGCATTACATCACTTGCTCACCAATGGATTCTCTGCAGTGAATGGGTGCCATCAGAATTTGTTCTGAAGAAGAAACAAACTCATCTACATCTTGGATGGCCCGAGCGTGAGTAAATAGTCAGCAAATTTTCATTTTTGGATGAACTATTCCTTTAACTATTTTGATACATGAAAATATAATGCACAATGAACATTCCTGAGTTAATAATATTCACTGAAATAAGCAATAACATCAAAAACTATTGTATGTGACTACAGCTTAGTCTCACTGGTTTAATGATTTTATCTTGGATGGCCTGAAGAGGAGTAAATATTCAGCTAATTTTCCTAATAATTGTATTCCTTTTAAATGGTTGATTCTTAGCCTAATATCTTGAAAACTTTGACTTTTGATTTATGGACCCTTTTCACAAGACTGTGATGACACATTTAACGGTCATCAGCATCGTAAATTCTTGAAAGTTTTTCATATTTGTATTTTTTATTTTTTTTTAAATGTATGTACATTTATAACACTATTCTTTATATTATATTACCTTTGCATCAAATTACAAAAAAAAACTAGTTAAAGGGTTAGTTCAACGTCTATGGGAGGGACGGTAAATTTGACATCGTTCTCTCTTCTGACTGCCGATATCAGTCTCTCTCCATTTTTTTCTTTTATTGAAAGTCATGAAAACACTATCGTGGAGTTTTTCTTTTGCTATTTGCACAAATGGGAATGCTTAAAATATATTTGTGGTACTCTCCCATTCACTGCTCTTCAAGTTAACCCAACAAGTTAACGACTTCCGCTGCCGAGAAACCCAGAAATGTGAAAAATGTCCATTGTTTGCGTCTCACCTCCGTAGAAGAGTCCGGTGGCAGTGCACATTCTCCACTGGCCCTGGTACATGCCAGGAATGGCCGGACTGCGCATCTGCACGCTCACGTCTGAGATATCCTGTGGGTCCAGAGAACGCACCATTACCATGTTCACATGACCAAACTGATCCCCGCCAACATACTTCAGACACACACCTGGGGGCCACGACTCTGTACCTGCAGAGAAGACAGGAACAACATTGAAGTTTGACAAAACAGGATTTAACGTGAGGTGGCTAGATCATCAATCCTTAAAAGAAGCAAAACTATTATTGATATTCTGATATCAGTTAATTTTAGGAAATAATGGTCCATAATGCAGAAAGTGGAAGAAAAACTATTAAATTAGCAAACATGAACAAGAATTATTACTGCTCAAAATGACTACTGAATACATAAAGAATAAGACAGGCATTTAAGTCATCCCCAAAAGATTCCATAATAAATTAGTCTTTATTGTAAAATGTGTTTTGAATTACAATCTGTTAGAGTAGAGCTGCACAATTAATCGAATTTCTAATCGCAATTACAATTATGGATGCCACAATTACGTAATCGTTCCAAGCGGCAATTAATCGTTCAAAGTCCACTTATGTTATTCTGCACGCTTAAGATATGTTTTTTTCTTTCTACATGTTATCTTAAGGGTTTTTCCATTGTTTTAGTTTTAGTATAACATTATAATACCATTCATTTATTTATTTTTTTTATAATTTAAAGAAGAAACCAATCCGATGTATATTTGACATTTGAGGCTTAATACTATAGAAAAGCACTAAAGGTTTTTCAGTTAGAGTTTTTTCAGCTTGTTTATTTTCATATAAAAATACGGCATGCAGTTGCATCAAACAATGGTATAAACATCATTCAATGTAAATTGTGATAATCGTAATTAATAATCGCAATTACAATTTCAAGGGAATAATCGACAATTATGATTTTTTGTCATAATCGTGCAGCCCTATGTTAGAGCATAAAACACAGGTGTTGAGCCTCTTCATATCTACAACCAGAGCAAGAAAACACTCACCTGTGTTCTGTATCCTCCATGTCTTTGTGAACTGTGTGTCTGGAGGAACGGACTCCCCCTCTCCAATCGTCACATCTTCCACAAAAGACATTGACGGCGTGTTGATATTTGGACTCTCAAAGTCATAATACGCACCAATAGCTGCTTGTAGGTTCCTGATAAGACACGAATACAGACAGATCAAAATTGGAGATTCAATGACAATGTAGTTGCGGAGAGCAAAACAACATGTACAAATAAAATGTATGAAAAGCAGATTAATCAGCCAATATATGGATATTATGAAGCTGACGCCAACAAACATGCAACTTACATTTATGCATTTAGCAAACTTTATCCAGTGACTTACAAGAGAGGAACATAAGCAATTCGTCACAGAGCCAACAAGATTCATAATGGAAGGTTTATTTTAAAGCTGAACTAAAAACTTGGCAAAAGCATGACATACAGCTTGTGTCAATCCCAAAACCACAGACTAATGCTGACTAACTTAAAAGCACAACAATGCATCATGAAGCCACTAATATACCCCCTTTATTGACATATATAACCTAGAAATGCCTGGTATCAAGTCCATAAATAAACAATATTATTATTTTAAATTAAATAATACTCTAAATAAGAAAATAAATCTGCCAACAGGTGGCGGTAAATGTCTTAATTCGATTCGTTCAAACGGCGGATTCATTCAGGAATTCAGTAAAGGACTCTCTTTATGAATGGGCCTTTGAATCATTGATTCACACGATTCGTTCAAAACGCGTATTCATTCAGAAACTAAACACCGCTGTGTTGCTCGGAGACGCAACAGTTCTGCTGTGGCTTTAAAGGTAATATATTCTCTGCAAAATTGAACACAAAAAACATTGAAATATAACACAATATCAACTTCTTATTTACTGAACTGTTGTATAAAATCCAATTTAAACTCGTGATATTCAGGAAAAAATCACTCATGTGATATTGCTCTCGCTGATATAAATAAGAGACAAAAACTCATACAGGGGCATTTTTTGTCCCAATATCTTTAATTTTAGGGCATAACTGCATTTATGGAGTTGTTGCACTGCATCATGTTTGTCAACAGTCAACTGTATGAAATGTAAGATGACGTACAGGCCTGGGGCCGGGGCCAGTGCGTTAACTACGTTACAATATTTTAATCACGTTATTTTTTACACACACACACATACATACAATAGAAACAATTTTAACAACTATTAGCAAATAAACTGACTGGTAAAGTAAAGTAGTAAAGTACTGGTAAAGTCATGTTCAAAACAAACGAAAGGAGGGACAAACTTGTGTTGGCCTGTGTGTAAGACCTCAGACGAAAGTACACTCGTGCATTACGTAACTCTGAAGAAAACTTTGTAACAGTCCTTCCATGTCAACAAACACCAAATTTACACACACAACACACACACATACACACACATACACACACACACACACACACACACACACACACACACACACAACTTATAAACACTAAATTATGCTGCTTATTACCAATAAAAACTAATATATTACTGTCGTCAAGCATCATTTTTTTTAGAAGAGTCGTGACTGAACAACACTGGACAATGTCTGTCTCAAAACATAGCGAGCCCCTACCTGAACAGCATTTTGAATGCACTATCATAGTCAGCAGCATTTCAGGTCAGAAAAGCCCCAATATACTGCTTAGATAGGGAACTTAAAAGGTTTTGAAACACAACCACTACTGTAGCGAGTCACTAGCACAAACAAGCTACATGTTTGACAACTGACATAAATAAAACAAACCAAATTATTTAAGAACATGTTTGAGAAAAATGAATTTTTAAGAAGCTAAATGTCTAACATATTACTTATATAGTTCATATGAGCCGAAACGTTACATTTGCTGTCTTTGTAAACAGTCAATTAGCCATTAGCTTGTTGTGTTTTTCGCTTGAGATCCATTTAAACTCCACTGGGCTCATGATAGCTGTCCTAGCGATGGTATTTTTGGCATGCAAGATATTTTAAAGCAAGAAATCGTAGTGGAGAACTCTTTATGTTTAGTTCAGCAGTAGGCCGCGGCTGAGTCCCCGGACTCACCAGTTGGTCATGTCCAGGAAGAAGGCGCAGCCCGCCGGGTTGAGCTGAAAGCCCAGCAGCCTCTGGAACTCCGAGATGAGGACATCTTTATCCGTGGTGCCCATGCAGCTGAATTTTTGCATGAGCTCCGGATCCAGGTCTATGTCCATGCCCTCCATGAGCATGCGGCTGTCCCGGGGATAAGTTTTAATTGAGTCCGAGGCCTTCTCCAGTCATAACAAGCGACCCGATAACAAGCTCAGTACGCATGGCTGCGGGCGGGGCGTGACATCACGTGCTACGTAACTATGGTGCGGAGGAACGTCAGCTGTTGCTATTCAACTGTTGTGTCTGTGGCGTGTCGTAATCTAGAGCATTCATACAAACCCTAGGCCCTATGTTACTGTAGTAAGGCCTTCCATACTGTAGTGCCATAGTTGCATGTAAGGTAACACCATGGAACTTTGACATATAGGCTATACAACGATGTTAAAGGGGTCATATGATGTTGCTAAAAAGAACATTATTTTGTGTATTTGGTGTAATGAAATGTGTTTATGCGGTTTAAGGTTCAAAAAACACATTATTTTCCACATACTGTACATTATTGTTTCTCCTCTATGCCCCGCCTTTCTGAAACGCGTCGATTTTTACAAAGCTCATCGTCTGAAAAAGCGAGGTGTGCTGTGATTGGCCAGCTATCCAGTGCGTTGTGATTGGCCGAATACCTCAAGCGTTTGACGGAAATGTTACGCCCCTCACCATACTGTTGATGTCGTGTCCGGCCGGAGCGACGAGACAAAAACATTAAAACCCATTATAAACGAGGCATTCGTTGCATGCAGTGGGGACATAATTACAGATTATAATGATTTATAGTGTGTTTTAACGCTTTGCGTTGCATCGCGCCGTGTAAACATTAAACCATGTCTGCATTTGTGATCGGAGAAATGACAAATAACAACCGCTACTCTACACTGCCCAAAACTCGCGTTTGAATCGTCTATGCAGATCTTCCCACATCGTGACGTAGATATGTGGGGGCGTGTTAGAACGAGGCGTTTTAGGTAGGCGTGGCTGACTCTTAACTTTTATAAAGAATATCTCTTTGGATTTGAGACTTTAGTCTTTGCAACTTTACAGATCTTCTTTATGCACCAAGAGCTTGTAACACTTCAAAGAAAAAGGAAAAACTGAAATCGCATCATATGACCCCTTTAAACGATTACCTAGTTAATTTACTTTTGTATTCACATGGTATGTCAAGAATATGTCCAGCAAGCCATTGTATTGCCATGGCAGGTGCTCAGTAAACGCTAAATTACTAATGAATAACTAATGAAGTTGTGTACTCTTACTAAAGTACTGTCGCAATACCATAGTAATGATTTACGCACCCTTATTCTTTAACTGAGTGTATATTTATGTATAAACTAAAATAACAGCACTGTTTTCCAGTTAGGCAGGTAAGAAATCCAATGCACATTGGATTTTTATTTCAGTTATTGTAAATAAAATGTTTTAAAATAGTATTTGTAATCAAATTAAATATTTTTTTTACATTGTTATTATTAAAATAAATAAATCAATCAATTAATTATTGCATTTATTTAAGGAATCCCCCTTTAACCCATTGTTTCTAAAGTACTATCCAGTAAATACCCAGTGCACATAATTCAGTTATTGTAAATAGCGTTATTTTAAATTATTTAATTGTTTTAATTATTTTATATTAAATTATGTTGTTTTAGTTATATTAATAAAAATATTTTCAATTACTTAATTGCTTCAATTATTTTATAATTAAAATAATTTTCATTTATTTAATCATTTATTGTATGTAGTTATTTAAGGGACCCTGCTTTAAGAGTCTAACCCCATTGTTTCTTAATATGTATAATGTGCATTGGATTTCTTAGCTGCATAATTGTAACACAGTGCTGTTATTTCAGATCAAAATTTCTCAGAGGATGACCCCACTACTTGCATCACATAAAATGAGAAACCAGGCCCACCATCCCGTGTGAGAGTCTCAGTAACCTGATTAGCCAGCCTGTCAGTAATAATAAGGCCAGGTCTTGGATCTAGGACCCATCGCTGTGTCAGCTAGTGTGAGATGACAAGAAAGACTGGGAGAACTAGAACCACAACAGGAGACAAAGGAGTGAGTAACTTAAGATAAAGCAGAATGTGTGTGTGTTTGAGTTTCAAATGTTTTGTGTGTTTCACTTTAGATATGGTGATGTGGGCTGAGCAGATATTATTCTGGAGCACTTACATTGTAATATACTTATGTACAAACACATTTGATGTTAGTATATTTTTAATGGTGTGAATTTAAATAAGGAAAGATGGTTCCAAATTGTATCAGAACCAATTCAGAATCCTTTTTGGTGTTCACTGCACAACTGTATTTTGTAGATTCCATAAACAGAAATGTTAGTGCTGTAATAAAGACCTTAAACTATTATTATTGTAAGTTAAATTGTAATAATTTAATTACATTTAAAGTTTATTTTATTATTCAAATTAAATTATTACTTTTTAATTTAATTTTATTATAAAATTAAATTATTTAATAAAGCGTAAAGACCTTAAACCCTAACACAAATGATTTTTTCAGCATACTGTTCTAAATTGAACTTTAATAATCTACATTTAAATTGAACTTTAATAAATTTAAAGTTTATTTTATTATTTAAATTACATTACTATTTTCTTATTTCAGTTTCTATTTTATTTTTTAATTTAAAATTTATTTTAACATTTTATTTTTTAGTATACAGTAAAGAATATAAACCCTAAGGCAAAGAAATAAAATAAAGTTCTAAATTAAACTTTAATAATCTAATAATAAAATAAACTTAATGAACTCATACAATCTTATTTAAATTAAACTTTAATACTTTGAAATTGACATTAAAATTGTATTTTATTATTTGAATTACATTTTTGTTTTATTTTTATTTTGTTAGAGTAAAGACCTTAAACCCTGGCACAAAGAACCATTTCAACATTGTTCTAAAATTAACTTTAATAATCTTAATAATTACTTTATTGTTACAATTTTTATTTTAATAGCTATTGTATTGAATCATTTAAACAACCCTCCTTTAAGAGTCTAACCCCATTGTTTCAGTTGATGTTATTTCGAGCTGTATTATGCACATTTTAATGTACGCTGTTGATTGATTTGTGATCAGTTGTTTTAGGCTGCAAGCTTATGCACTGCAGAGAACCAGGGCGTCTGTAGTGAGCCTGCGCGGTAGTGAGTCAAACAGACAGACAGACAGGCAGGGAGGGAGGGAGGGGAAGGAAAGAGTCTTTTCAAAAAACCCATGGAGTTTCTTGGCAAGGGGAGGGCAAAGGAACACAAACTGTGGGTGGACCCCTGTGACAATGTAGATCAGGCACCTAAACCCTCCCTGGTTGAAAAACACTAGTACCACGAATGCTTACAGTGGTTAGTACTGCTGTAGATCCGGGAGGCTGCTTTAAGTTTAATTCCATGGATAATACAGGTTTACGCTGAATAATACCAGGTGGACAAGGACTAATAGTCTGCTTATCGCAGGTAAAGAGAATTCGTGTCCAGACCCCCAGACAGACCCCTGCTTTGCTGTTCCAGACAGAAAAACCCACAACGCCAAACCAGGAATGTCCAATCCCGCACCAGACGCCCGTCCGGACCAGACTGAGAGTGATGGGTCGTCTGAACCGTCACCCCAGGCTTTGAGGAAGCCACCTGGGCATCTGAAGTTGGCACGCAGCTTCTCTAAATCAGATTCCGACCTGCTGGCTTCCCCTCATTGTGAGGACGACGGGCCTCTTGGTGGCCGGAGCGAATCCCTGTCCAACTGTGCTGCTGAGAGGAAGGAAATGGAGCAGATGCCGTCATTTGCCTCCGAATGGGACGAGGTAAGAGCTGATGAACTGCTGATTAAAGAGCAGAGGAGGGAGAACACGAGACTTCCTCTCACGAGGGACAAACCAGAACAGACACGTTAAAAGTTTTGAATTTACACTGAAAGTTACTTTTAATATACACTACCATTCAAAAGTTTGGGGTCAGTATGATTTTATTTTTTGAGAGAAATTAATGCTTTTTATTCAGCAAGGATGCAAAGACATTTATGTTACAAGAGATTTAAAAAAATGCTGTTCTTTTGAACTTTCCATTCGTCAAAGAATCCTGAAAAAATGCATTGCTGTTTCAACAAAAATATGAAGCAGCACAATTGTTTTCAACATTGATAATAATAAGAAATGTTCACATGCAAGCTATAGTAAGTCAACCTTGTGATACAGTTTCAAACCTTTCACTTTACCATAGCATAGTCATGTAACAATTTCATGTAACTGGTCTTTTTTTTAGGAGTGATGCAATAATATAACATGTTACTTTTATAAAATTTATACTAGTATACCTACATTACTTTTCTTTTTATGTAATTTATTTTCAGACAAAGGCATTTTCCTCCTTCCTTGTAACATTGGCGCAAAGGCCTACATACTCATGTTAAAGGGGTCATATGATGCTGCTAAAAATAACATTATTTTGTGTATTTGGTGTAATGAAATGTGTTTATGCGGTTTAAAGTAAAAAAAACGCA